CTCTCTCCTTCTCTCTCTCTCTCTCTCTCTCTCTCTCTCTCTCTCTCTCTCTCTCTCTCTCTCTCTCTCTCCATTTTTCCCTCCCCCTATGTTCCGCTCTGCTCTGTTCTGCTCTGGTCTGCTCTGGTCTGTACGGTCACTCCCACCTCCGGCAGACCAGGCGTTCAACGACCAGGCGACCCGGGGCCTGCAGATGCTGCCCGGCGGCAGCAAGGAGCGTGCCGCCAACCAGGACGGCTACTTCTGCCACGACTTCGAGCGCGTGTTCGACGGCGAGGCCTGGGCCAGCGCCTGGACCACAGACAAGCTGATGGACAGGTGGGTGGCGGATGGAGACGGCGGGGACGGGAGGCGGAAGCGGGTTGATGCAAGGAAATGCCTGTCGCGTTTTGTTTTAAGAGAAACTTTTCCGCCAGTGATTGACATTCTGGTTTGAAATCGGTCAACGTGCATGAGGAACACACCACAAAAGATCCGCCATGGCTGGTCTCTATAGAACTATATAGACATGATTATATGATGCATATGTGTATGAATATATATATATATATATATATATATATATATATATATATATAATATATATATATATATATATATATATATATATATATATATATATATATATATATATATATATATATATTGCAATTTGGCAATATATATTGGCAATATATATATTGGCAATTGGCGTCCAAACATCGACGTCTGCCATCAAAATGACTGTCGCGCTCACACTCACTGCACTCCACTGCACTACACTCACACTCGTTTGGCAGCACATCCCTGGCCAGTTGAACCCTGGCCGCCCCCGCCTCCCTCTCCGTGACCCGACCCCCGCCGCGTTCCCGACCCCGGCCCGCCTGACCCCGTGCCTGCAGGCGTGTGAGGGGTCGCGGGAAGCAGGTGGGCGCGCGCGACTGGCTCCCCTCCAGCCACTCCAAGGACGCGAACGGCGCCGGCACCTACTATGGCACGTTCATCAGTCACATGCCAGGTGCGGAAGGTCGCCACCGGCCGGAGCGCGCTGTCGGCCCGGCGGGAAGACGCTGCTGGGATGGCACGACTCGGCGTGTGCATGTGGGCGTGTCGTGCGGGTGGGCGTTTTGGCTTGGCCGTGGCGCCAGTGGGCGGATGTGCGTGAGGGTGTTGGGCAGTGCTGGTTTGCACTTTGGGCTGAGCGTATCTGTGTCGTTTGGCCGCTTCATGTCTGCGTGTTGTTTTGCTCGCTCTGCAAGCAACACAACTGCAACTGCAACAACTGCAACAACAACTGCAACACGATAACGTCGTTGTCCGTGTTGCTTGGTCTGTGTCGTACCGCTGCCGGCATCCGTGCCGTTTAATCTCTCTCGTATCCCGTGTCGTTATCTGTCTCGTTTGGTTTGTGCTGAGCCTCTTTAGCTATCCGCCCCGTCTGGTCCGCATCGTGTCCGTGTCAATCCCTATCTTTGTATCCGTGTCGTATGTGTGTCGTTATCCACGTCGTTCGGTGGTGTCCTCGATTACGGCTCCATGTTACGTAGCTGTCTTTTTACAAGTGAGCGTGGTGACATGCCACCGCGTACGTAACAGAGGGCTGTTAGAAGGGCGAATTATATGGTATCTCATGCAATTTACGATGCTGTTCATCTCATGGTGCATACTGTATACTTTTTAGCACGACGTCTATCTCGGCTTGTGGAAGCTGACTTTAAAATCCTTGAATCTTGACCCCTGCCCTCGCTTTCCTGGTGAACTACCGCTCTCGTCTCCTGCTACCGAACGGATCTGATATCCTAACTCCCCGCCACGCCCCAGCCATGGACCCCAACCCGAAAGGGAGAGGCCCACTGAGGCACGAGCCACCCAACGTGAAGACAAACCCGAGCAAGAAGGGCACAGGATACGGCTACGCTAACGTCGCCCTCAACCCGTACCCGGAGCACGCCAACGAGAGCTTCGCAGAGGCGCTCAAGGTCGGCTCCTGGTGTCTGCTGACCCGATAACGAGATCTTCGCAGAGGCGCTGAAGGTCGGCTCCTAGTGTCTGCTCACTCGCTGATGAGAGCTTCGCAGAAGCGCTCAAGGCCGGCTCCTGGTGTCTGCTGACTCGCTGATGGGAGTTTCGCGGAGGTGCTCAAGGTCGGCTCCTGGTGTCTGCTGACCCGATAGCGAGAGCTTCGCAGAGGCGCTCAAGGTCGGCTCCTGGTGTCTGCTCACTCGCTGATGAGAGCTTCGCAGAGGCGCTTAAGGTTGACTCCTGGTGCCTGCTGACACGAAAACGAGAGCCCCGCAGCGGTGCTCAAGGTCTGCTCCCGGTGCCTGCTGAGCCGCTGACGAGAGCTTCGCAGAGGCGCTCAAGGTCGGCTCCTGGTGCTTACCAACCCGCGTGGCTTTGGGCTTTGAGTCCCGTGGCATCAGGGAGAGCGTCTGTTGGGACGGCTTTCAGCTGTAAGCTCTCGGCAAGCTCGGCAGGCTCGGCGGGCTGCTGTCGGTCGGTTGTCACGAGCTCACAAGCTCACAAGCTCACTGTCGCGGGCGGCACAGCTCAGCCACAGCGCTCGACCACTGATGTAACAGAAGGGGGATGAGAGGGGAGGGGAGGCTAGCAGGGACACTACAGGGAGAGCCGTCAACCATGTCTGCAGTGGGGCTCGGCCGAGCGCCGCCAGAGCCCAGTCGCGCCGCGCGGCCGCCTCCCGTGTGTGACCCCGTGCCCGTATGTGTGTGTGTGACCCAGATGGAGCGCCAGGTGCAGGCACGGCACCGACAGGCCATGCTGGACGGGCCGCTCCGGCTCAAGAACTACCCCCAGGACTACTTCGGGCCTGACCCCTACATACCGGTGAGCTGCGACGCAGGCCGCGGCGCAACGGCGGCGCAGCGGCTTCGCGGCGCGCGCTCCGTCACAGCGTGCGGGACGGCAGCCCAGTTTGCGTCACCGCTGCGCTGTGACGTCTCAGCGTGGCGTGACGTCACGAGCCGGACTCACAGTCACGAGGCGTTGTTCCATCGTGGTGAGCTGCTTGAGGGCGACGTCACAAACCATTTCGTGGGCAAAGCTTTCCATCACATTTGCTCTTGCCGCCGTTCTCACGGGCTGTTCCCCGGGCCTGCGCGCCAACAAACATGGTCCCTGGAAGAGGAGAGGCTGCAGCACGCGAGTCGGTTCAAGTAGACCATGCTGTCCTAGTCGTGCCACGTGATGTCCTGAGTCATGCTGGGGGAGCACAAATCACGGCACATGTCTCCGCGTCGACGAGCCATGGCGGCCAGACGAAGACACGTGTGCGCTTCATTTTCACAGTAATCTCCTTGAAGGGAGATTGTTCTCAGCGGGTGGTTAGAGCGATGTTCGGACTAGCTCCCGCTCGGTCAGCCGGACCCCGCCCCGGTTTGCCGGACCCCGCCGGCGCCTCGGTTAGCCGGACACCGCCTCGGTCAGCCGGACCACGCCTGGGTCCGCAGGTGACTGCGGGCCGAACGTACAACATCCGCCGTATCCCGGCTAGTCCGAAGGAGGCGTTCCGGCCTTCGGGACCGGCCAAGAAGGACGGCGGCTGCAAGGCTGGCTGCTTCAGCAAGTTCCCCGAGTACATGCCGGACGTCTACGGCATGAGGTGAGCTGACCGATGGACGGGGATGACGTCATATGCATGTTTCGGATGACGTCAGGCGCCGGCTGTGGTGGGGCCAGCACCTGGCGCTCCCGGCGTTGGCTGCCTTCGCTTCGGCCCTACGCCCTACTCTTCTCCAAAAATATTGCAAAGGTGGCATCGTTGATAGAGAAACAGGTGGCTGTCGCAGTCTGTTTTTGGGCGGGAGGTCTCAAATCCGGCGCCAGCTGGTCGCGGAATGTACCCCGACTGCTTCTGTTAGCCGAGTAACATCGCAACCTCCCGGTGTAATGGCACGATAGGACCGGTTGGACTGATCAATTACGCACGACTCCTGAACTCGGGGCGCGGACCCTCGTGCCCTCGGCGTCCAAAGCCCCGTTGATCAATACTTGTCAACCGCACCGTTGTCTGCTGCACTACTGTTGCCGGGCCGCTGTGGACCGTGGTCTGCTGCTGTTGTGCTGTTCGCTGACGCCGTCGGCCGTGCTCGCAGGGTGCGGTACCCGCAGAACGTGGTGAACAAGGACGGCAAGACGTTCTACCCGCCGATGCGCGGCAAGTCCGTGCGCCAGGACAGCATCGTCAACACGAACGTGGCGCGCTCCATCCACGAGCAGTCGTGGCGCAACACACGCAACATAGTCTTCAAGAAGCTGTGCTCGTCCGTCGGCCTCTGATGCGCCGCCGCCGCCGCCGCCGCCCGGCTGCCATGTTGCTGTGACGTCAAATTAATGCCACGCATGTTTGTGGAGAGGACGGAGTCCGGTGCATGTCACGGGTTTTGGGTATTCTTATCAATTTTATTTTTGGGGGGTATGTAGCCTTGGTTCTCAACCATTTGTCGTTGAGTGCTTGTGGGCGAAATACAATAAATGTGATGTCTTATCCGATACACGAGTGTTTGTTTTGTTGCGAAATGCGGTAGTAACGGTGCCGAAAAGCGGGACAAATCTTAAGGCCCCGTTCGGTCCGTCGTCAGCGCGTTTGTCAGCTGGAACGCGTGCCGTCATGCGTGTTGAGAGAGCGTTTGATATGTGGGCTAACAGGAAAGCTTTCTTACGTTGCTTTCCCTTGTTCTTTTACCCTTTACTTCAGTCCACACACTAACTGCGGCTTACTGCCGATCATGGCACACTTCGTACAAAGTGGTGTTTGGAAATGTGGCTGCTGTTCCGGTATTGCCATCATCTATCCCATCCGTATGTTGAATGCTCCTTCCCAATTTCACTTCATTTAAATTTTTCCCAGGCTGGTTTTAAGTGTTTGCTTATAACGCCATTAATTCACTGGACAACGCAACCACACAATACACCGATCACTGCTATTCACCTTTTCATGGCTAATCTTGGCATTTCAATTCCCTCCTCATCTGTCTTATGTCGCATTTCAATCTGAGACAAGATCCCCCGCCCCACCTAACGGCCGTACTCGCCAACCGAACAGCTCCAAATCAGTCTCCCGCTTCAGTCAGGGTAAGCTCGTAACGCTTGCTCCCCATGCTGACAGGCTGACAAAAAATCCTGGCATCATCATCAACCGGCGCATGACGTCCAGACCGCGTGACTTTGTAGTCACGTGACGTGACGTAGGGCGAATACTGGGCCATGATTGGTGTTGACAAAGGTGCTGGCGGCGGAGTGTACGCGGCGCTAGTGTGTGGTTTGAAGTAAAAGATTAAGGAAGGAGAAAGGGAAGTCAAAAAACTTCCCTGCGTACCCAGACATCGAACGCACCGTCAGCACGCGTGACGTCCTGCATTCCAGCCGACAAACGTGCTGACGACCTCAGTATTCGCTCTACGTGACATCATGCGGCGATAAAATCACGTGGCCTGTGACGTCATACGCCGGCTGACGATGATGCCAGTATTTTTGGTCAGCCTGTCACATTGGAGAGAAAGCGTACCAGATTAAATATACGCTGACTGGAGCGGGAGTTTGATTTGGTAACTCTTGAGTTGGTTGGTACGTTAAGTTGGGTGGGTTGGGACACTTGTCTATAATTCTGATGGAAATGCGACGTAAGATAGGTAAGGAGGCCATTAAAATGCCGAGATTAGCCATGAAAAGGTGAGTGGTATTGATTGGTGCGGTGTGTAGTTGCGTGGCCCAATAAATTAATGGCGTCATGAGTATACACTTAGAATGAGCGGAACGCAATTGTAATGAATTGGTCAAAGGTCAAAGGAGAAGAGAAAGTAAGTTTGAAAATTATCCTGTCAGCCCACACATCAAACGCGCTTTCAGCACGCGTGACGTCACACATTCCAGCTGACAAACGCGCTGACGAGAGATCGCACGGGGCCAGTTGTGCTGCCGACAGATCGAACGGTGCCTGAGAAGGGTGTTTTTACCTTTTGAAGAAAAAGCTTGTGTGGCACTCCCGTCGGCCACCAGCTGGATATGGTAGCTTTGGAATTTTTTTACAATAATGGCTCAGAAGTTTCCTGACACACATCCTGCATATGCCTGACGCATCATGAGGGCACGGAGGGGATGTCTAGTCGTCGACCGCGTTAAGGCGTTGTAGTCGGTTTTGTGACGTGGTCGGGTGGTGTGTGATTCAGGGGTATTTCCAACTGGCTCAGCTGTCGGTTCTTAAGGGACTTGCGCTACAGCGATATAGGTCGCGACTGTC